AGACAGGTTACAGTATGGCAAAGTGAAGGGGCAGGGATTTCTCTAACATGTTCAGCTCCTCTTTAATGGGGTTTGTCATTGTTGTTAATAAAAGAAATTTAGGGCCACCTGGGTGGCTCAGTCAGTGAAGTGTCCAACTTCATCTTAGGTCATGATCTCATGGTTCGTGAGTTTGAGCCCCATGTCAGGCTCTGTGCTGACAGCTGGGAGCCTGCAGCCTGTTTCAGATTCTGTGTCTCCCTCTCTCTCTGCCCCTCCCCCACTCATGCTCTGTCTCTCTCTCTCTCTCTCTCTCTCTCTCTCTCTCAAAAATAAATCAACATAAAAATTAAAAATAGAAGAAACTTAACTTTGTTTCATGGAAATTTTCAAACATATACAAAAGCAAAAAAGATTAGTATAATGTAGCCAATGTCCTTCAACAATTATCCACAATGGCCCAAGCTTTTTTATTTTTGCCCCCACCCTGAATTATTTTGAAGAAAATACTAGACATAACACTTCCTCTGTAAGTATTTCCAAATCTCCAAAAGATGAGGACCATTACTGCATACCAATACTGTTAATAAAATCAAATATCCAATTAGTGAAGACACTTCCTCAGCTGTCAGAGGAAGTTTACAGTTTACAGTTTTTTACAGTTTATTTGAATAGGATTCTATGGAAGGTCTATATAGCCACAAGCGACTGATATTTCTTAAGTCTTTTCTGAAATTCTGAAATTTTCTGAAACTAAGTCTTTTCTAAGTTCGCCCATCTTTTTTTTTGCCTTGACATGTTCTCTTTGTCCCCTAGATTTTTCCCACAATGTTAAATGCATCCTCCCAGTATCCTTCAACAAGTTCTTCTTCCCTTGCAGATCTAGAGGCTGATGGGATTTTGTTGTGCCGTAGTTTCTTATTTTTCCCCCAACTCATCAAGAATTAGCTGACCTCGGGGAGCCTGGGTGGTTCAGTTGGTTGAGCATCCGACTCTTGGTTTGGGCTCAGGTCATGATCTCAGGGTTGTAGGATCAAGCCCCGAGTGGGGCTCCACTTGCCACTTAAGATTCTCCTTCTGCAGGGCATCTGGGTGGCTCAGCTGGTTGAGCATCCGTCGGACTTTGGCTCAGGTCAGGATCTCACAGTTGAGTTTGAGCTCTGTACTGCGTTCTGTGAGGACAGTTTAGAGCCTGGAGTCTGCTTTGGACTCTGTGTTTCCCTTTCTCTCTGTCCCTCCCCAACTTGCATTCTCCCTCTCTCTCTCAAAAATAAATATTTTTTAAAAAGAAAGAAAAAGATTCTCTCTCTGTCCCTCTTTCTCTAAAATTTTTTAAAGTGAAAAAAAATAATAATAATTAGCTGATGCCCCTCCACCTGCATTCTACCTCCCAGTCTTCTGTCAACTTTGCAAACCACAGGCACCAAAGTTCACAATTGATGAGTAGTTCCATACACACAGAGAAAACAAGTAATTCTCTACTAAAGTGGGCTGAAACCCAAGGTACAATTGCTATAGCCTATGACACTGACCAATTTAGAACAAAGTCAATCAAACCTAAAGCTACTTATACAAGGGATCTTTATCCTAGCTAAGCCAGTCTTCCAATTAAGAAATAAAGGAAATTGTCACCAATTGCCAAGGCTTTCTGAAGCATATGGCCATGAGAAGTGACAGCAGGCAGTTTGGATTCCTAGTCACTAGGAAAACTGGGCAGAGAGAAACCAGACTGTGGCCAGGGCTCCTAGGTGCCATCTCCCACCCAAAGCATAGCTTTATTTTTTGTTCCCCTCTTGTGGGTTTTTGTTTGCCTTAAAGTTTACCACTTGTAGCTGGTGGCCCCAGAAGACAAGGATACACCTAAGTGAAATCTTTTAACATGCAATATAAGAACACATCCACTCTCTCTCTACTGTTTATCTGTGGCAGACACGTAGAGCTGCTTATCCATATCCATTCTTCCCATCCTTCTTAATGATGAAATCCCAATTTTATTCAAGGTAACAACATGGCTGGCTGGAAAAGTAAAACACTGTAGCCTCCTTTTGTAGACAGGTGTGGCCATGTGACTAAATTCTAACCAATGAAATAGAGGCAGTTGTTAGGCATGACTTCTAGAAAGCCTTCTTAAAAAGAAAACAAACAGGTGAGGGTGTCCTTTCGCCTACTCTCCCTTCCTCCTCTTTGTCCCTGAACTCAGACATAATAGGTGGAACTTATGTGGCAACCTCTACAGCATGAGATAGAATGTATTACTTATTCAAAATTCTTTTGTCCCTCTCATCCTTGCCAAGGTTCAGTGTGAGATTATCCTTCCCCACCCACAGTCTATGAGTCTGTCCCTTTTACTTGCTTTGACCAGTGGAATGTGGGCAAGGGTGACAGTGTACCAACTGCAAGCAAAGGCTCTAAAAGGGACAGTGCTTCCATACTCCCATCTTGAATCCCAGCCTTCCATTATGAGAGAAGCATCCCTCGGCAGCCACTGCCCCTTCGGTCTGAGTTCGGGAATAAAAAACAAATACAGCAGACCTGAATCTGGTGCACTGCCCAGAGAAGAACCACCACAACCAACCCTGATCCCAGAGCAAAAAATAAATATCTGTTCTTTTGGACACAGAGATCTTGGGATTGTTTGCTATACAGCATTACTGAAGTGAAAAGCTGGCTAAACAGATCCTGAGATGACATCACGGAGGGAAGGAAAAGTTGCGAGAGCTAATACTTCTTGAGGGCTTATTATGTCCCAGGCAATGTTACAGGCAGCCACTAATTGTCCTGATGGTTCTATAAGATATGCACAGTTATTAATGCTATTATACAATTGAGGTAACTGAGGTACAGAGAGGTTAAGTAACTAGTCCAAAATCACTCAGCTAACAAGTAGTAGAGCCAGGATTTAAGCCAATGCTCACTAGTTCCAGAACCTTGCTCTTAAACCATTATGCCACACTGTCTTTGCCCACTCACAGGGCCACTGTTAACACTTTAGCTTATTTCCCTCCTGTTTTTTTTTTTTCCTCTCCATGGAAATATGTTATTTTTTAGTTTTTAACATACATGAAATACTAGACTAAGACCTTTCCCATCATACCACAACTACTTCCGTATTCTAATTACTAGTGCACAGACCGGACCAGAACATTAAACATTTTACACAGAGAAAGAAGTTATATGCTCAGGCCTATACCCCCAAACCCCTAGCTAACAGCCACCATCAAAAACATAGGCCTCGGGGCGCCTGGGTGGCTCAATCAGTTAAGCCTCCAACTTCGGCTCAGGTCATGATCATGCAGTTTGTGAGTTCGGGCTCTGTGCTGTCAGCTGAGCCTGGAGCATGCTTCAGATTCTGTCTCCCTCTCTCTCTGCCCCTTCCCCGTTCACACTCTGTCTCTGTCTCCTTCAAAAATGAATAAACATTAAAAAAGCAAAACAAAACAAAACACAGGCCTGGACCTAAAGCCAAAAAGATGGCAGACCAGGAAGCTCCAGGCCCTCATTCTCCCACAGAGACATGCCCAAACAACCAAAAACTGGCTAAAATAACCTTACAGAAACTCTGGAAAATGTCAAAAGCCTACAGCAACCAGAAGAACACCCAGCCAAGAAGTCATATTCAAAACAGAAACAAGTCTCTCCTCCATACTGCCACCACACTAATGATTCGATCACATCCCATAGGATTTTGCCACTTCCCTACTTAAATATCTTAGCAGATATTTAGCGTATCTTAGCATAGATATCTTAGCAGCTCTGACCCAACAACAATCAAGATCCAACTCACTCATTACTTTGTATCTGTGGCTTTCTGTAACCACCTTTTTCAAGTTTTAGATACCACTTACCACAATGCACTGTAAGTACATGCTTTCTTGTTCACCTTCCCCACAAAATTATGACCTATACCAAGTACCTAACATACTGCCTAAACCAAAGAAACCACTTAATATTTCTGAATTAAACAGTTCTCTCCCGACCCCAGAAAATCTAGACTTTAGGAACCCTCTCACTGGATACTGTTTGCTTCAGCCTGCTTGTTTTCTTTCGATGTAAGGAAACTGTTTAAAATGTCTTTTCTTGGGGCGCCTGGGTGGCGCAGTCGGTTAAGCGTCCGACTTCAGCCAGGTCACGATCTCGCGGTCCGTGAGTTCGAGCCCCGCGTCGGGCTCTGGGCTGATGGCTCAGAGCCTGGAGCCTGTTTCCGATTCTGTGTCTCCCTCTCTCTCTGCCCCTCCCCTGTTCATGCTCTGTCTCTCTCTGTCCCAAAAATAAATAAATGTTGAAAAAAAAAATAGCATTAAAATGTCTTTTCTGAAAGTTACTTGTACAACTTAAATGTTATCTGTATAACCTCAGAAACCATGGGATAGGGTGGAATTTCCCGGCTTTGAAATTTCACAGGCTGTTTCTGTGACACTGTTATACCTCCCAATTCCAAGAAAGGGTTATTCAAAGACAGCGTGCGATAAGTATGTTCTATTAACATAACCAACTATTTAACTAAAGTCTGGTAAGCACAACCCTATCTGTACCAGGCAAGTGGTTCCCAAAGCTGGACTTCGCCAAGCCCTCAGGACTTCACTAACAACGCAAACACCAGGATCCCACCCCAGAGACCCCAAAGATCCAGGCCGGGGCTTAACGCAGCCGTATATTCAACAAGTTCCTCGGCTGACAATGCTAAGTCAGGTTTTGAGAAGATTTCAAAGATACAAAATACAGTGACTTCACTGATTCCAAAGATACAAAATACAGTGCCAGTGCTAAAAGTGAACTAAGATATATTTTATTTGGAACTATCTTCCTCTGCAAACTTCACGACCCCTACTGTGTCCCAGAATCATGACTGGAGGCTCCAGAGAAAAGAACAGAGCTGTTAAAGTGTGTCCACAGTTCACCGGCTTCCTTGTCCGGCCAGTGTTTAGTCCTGTCCGGCCCACATTGGCGGACACAGGAAGAGGAGTCACAGGCTCAGTCAGGGGTTTCCAGGCCCGGGCCGCCGGAGCGCTCGCGCAGCCTACCTGGTAGATGGCAGAACCCGAGTCCGGCTGGGTACCCAGGGTGGCCACCGAGTCCCCGTGATAAGCGCGCGGCCCGGGTACAAGGGCGCGGGCGCACGGCCGCAGGGCTAACCTCAGGGAAGCCCACATGACAGCCGGCCCGGAGCGAAGAACTGGCGCAACAGAGCGGCCCGCGCAGGTTCAGAGTTGGTTATTTCCCAGCCGGCTTCCCTGAGTCGGTGTACAGCTCAGCTCGCGTCCTTACAGCCCAACCCGCCTGAAACACCCCAAAGTCTCAGGCCAGCCACCGCACGTGCGTGGGCTCGCCAGCCGTAAAATGTCGACGCTGCGCACCACGCCCCCCTAACTCAGCCAATAAGCGACAGAGGCGCAGCACCGCGAGGTCCTGTCCCCTCGCGAGCGCGGGAGTTCCGCGGTCCGGAGGCGGAGCCACCTTCCCCTTGCCGCCGCTCCTGTCTGCTCGCTGTGCTGGCTAGGTGAAGTTCACTGTCTTGGGAATCGTCTCTGTTGGTTTTCCTCGTGCTGTTTTCTTCTTCCCCTCTTAATAGAAAGAGGCTTGTGGGGGAGGGGAAGGAAAAAGGAAAAGAAAAAAAAAGTTAGAGAGGGAGAGAGCCAATCCATAAGAGACTCTTAAAAACTGAGAATAAGCACTGGGTTGAGCACTAGGTGTTGTATGGAAACCAATTCGACAATAAATTTCATATTTAAAAAAAAAGGGGGGGCTGGTACTTGAAAAATCTTATCCCTATAGGAGAGCTGGAAACCGAACAGGCAATTAAGCTGTCCTGAGAAACAAAACTCTTTAAAGGAGATACATATTTATTCATTCATTCAGCAAATATTTCTTCAGTGTCTCCTGTGTCCATTGCTCTTCTGGCGCTGGATCTTATAATTTCATGAGTCTTCCAGCTTTGTCTTCTCTTTCAGGTGTTTTGTTTTTGTTTTTGGCTATTTGGGGTGGGCTTCTTGAGATTCCGTATTAATTTTAGTATGGGTTTTTCTGTTTCTGAAAAAAAAAATGTCATTGGGGTTTTGATAGGGATTGCATTGAATCTGTTCACACTGGATAATATTGACATCTTAATGGGGCGCCTGGTTGGCTCAGGTCATGACCTCAAAGTCTGTGAGTTTGAGCCCTGCATCGGGCTCTGTGCTGACAGCTCAGAGCCTGGAGCCTGCTTCAGATTCTGTGTCTCCCTCGCTCTCTGCCCCTCCCCCACACATGCTAGCGCGCTCTCTCTCTGTCTCTCTCTCTCTCTCTCTCAGAAATAAACATTAAAAATTTTTTTTTTAAATATATTGACAACAGTATTAAGTTTTGCAGTCCATGGACATGGAATGTGTTACCAGGTATTTGTGTCTTTAATTTCTTTCAGCAATGTTTTGTAGTTTTCATTGGGCAAGTTTTACACCTCCTTGGTTAATTCTTATTTTATGCTTTTGGTATTTTATTATTTTTGATATTATTGTAAATGGAAATTGTCTCTGTAATTTCCTTTTCAACTTGTTCATTATTAGTGTATGAAAATCCAATTGGTCTTTGTGTGTTGACTTTGTATCCTGCTCTTTGCTGAATTCATTTATTCTAACAGTATCCTGCTACTTTGCTGAATTCATTTATTCTAACAACGTTTTTTTGGCGGGGGTGGATCTTTAGGGATATTCTACATACTTCTCATCTGCAAAGAGATCATTTTACTTCTTCCCTTCCAATTTGAATGCCTTTTATTTCTCATTTTTGCCTAATTGCTCTGGCTAGGACTTCCAGCATTATGTGAATAGCAGTGGCAAAAGTGGACCTTCTTGCCTTGTTCCTTATCTTCAGAGGAAACACTTTCAGTCTTTCATCACTGACTATGATGTTTGCTGTGCATTTTTCATATGCAGCCTTTATGATGTTAAGGTAGTTTTCTTGTATCCTTAGTTGATTGTTTTTATTATGAATGAGTGTTGAATTTTGTGAAATGTTTTTCTGCATCATTTGAAATGATCATGTGTGTCTTTTTTTCTTCTTTATTCTGTTAATGTGGTATATTTCATTGATCAGTTTTGGTATGTTGAACCATCATCTTTGCATTCCAGGAATAAGCCCCACTTGGTCATGATGTATAATCCTTTTTATTATGGTGAATTCAGTTTACCAGTATTGTATTGAGGATTTTGCATCAACATACATAAGGGTATTGGTCTGTAAGGTTCTTGTGTCGTTGTCTGGGTTTGGAATCAGGATAATGGCCTCAGAAAGCATCAGGAAGTGTTCTCATCAATTTTTTGTAGAAGTTTGAGAATGATTGGTATTAGTTCTTCTTTAAATGTTTGGTAGAATTACTGAAGCCACAAAGTCCTTTTTGTCTGGAGTTTGTTTTTGATTACTGATTCAATCTTTTTACTGTATATCTATTCAAATTTTGTCTGGAGTTTGTTTTTTTGTTGTTGTTGTTTGTTTTAAAGAGAGAGAGACACCACGAGCAGAGGAGAGGGGTAGAAGGAGAGAAAATCTTAAGCAGGCTTCACACTCAGCGCGGATCCCAACACGGGGCTTGATCCAATGACCCTGGGATCATGACCTGAGCTAAAATCAAGAGCCAGACTCTCAACTGACAGAGCCACCCAGGCACTTCTCAAGTTTTCGATTTCCTTGCAATGTAGTCTTGATAGGTTTTGTTTCTAGGGATTTGTCCCATTTCATCTAGGTTATCCAGTTTGTTGGTGTGGAGTTGTTCATAGTGTTGTTTACTTTTTTACTTTAGGGAATACGATATTTCAGCTTTCATAATGGAAATAAAGATGTTTTTACCTCTTTCTCTCATAAATGATCCCAAAGCAACAAAGGAGCACAAAAAAGAATTCATATCCCACCTTCAGTTAAACTAGGACACATGTGAAGACAGTAAGCAAAAATAGGAATGATAAATTTAGCAGAAAAAAGGAAGCTGAAATCTAAGTGCTTGCAGTGGAAGATAAAAACAAGTAACAAGTCAGTTTGCCTCCCAGAAATCCCTGCAAGGCTCAGAAATTGGTGGCACCAGCAACAGAGAAAGGTGTGGATGGATGTGGGGAGAAGCGGTGGAGACCAAGAAACAGTGGAACTACTTGGAAATCTGTATAAGAAGTAATTAGAACCCTGGGTTTCCATTCCCACTTTGCCCAGGAGAAATTTTCTGGAGAAATTGCCATCTCAGAAATTTCAAATATAGGGACATTAGACAAGAGTGAAGTGCCAGACTGAAATCAAAAAGATTAAAAGTTTGGAGGCCAAATCAAGAAAACCCTGTTCCCCACCTTCTTTTTTCCTCCAAGGTCTCAAATGCTGGCTACCAGCATTTATCTACAAGTCCATATAGAAGTTTATATAGAAGTCTAGAGAAACCTTAACACTTAACAGAAAAGATCAACAGTGACATTTGAAGTTCCCCAATGGAAAAATTCCTTAGAAAATAATGCATCTACAGTGTACCTCCAAATTGGCATGTCCTATCTATCTATAATCAATTAAGCTTGTAAAAGCTCCCAATCAACATTTTAGAAACTTTCTCTAACATATACATGGATAGCCAAGGATCAACAGGCATTTGAGAAAGTTTTCAGCATGAAAAAAAGATACCCACCTCAACCAAGAAAACCTCAGAAGAAACCAGTAGTAAAAGGAACAGAATAAACTGCAACATCCTTAGAGAAATGAAAATATATGCCATTCATGAAACAAGAACAGGATTATGAAAAAAATTTTAAAAGCTTCTGGAAATAAATATATGAAATCAAGAATTTTAATCTGTAGAAGGGAAGGAAACATGGAAGTAAAAATTTTTTTTAATGTTCATTCTGAGAGACAGAGTGAGCGAACAAGTCAGCATGAGCAAGGGAGGGGCAGAGGAAGAGCATCCCAAGCAGGCTCCCAGCTACAGCGCAAAGTCTGATGTGAGGCTTGACCTCATGACTGGCTCAATCTCATGACTGTGACATCATGACCTGAGCCAAAATCAAGAGTCAGACGCTTAACTGACTGAGCCAGCCAGGCACCCCTGGAAATAAAATTTTAAGCCTCATTTCCAATTTAAAATTTGGTAGAAATATAATCAAAGCTAGAGATTACAAGCTTTAATTAGTCACTTAATGAGAAATTATTAAGATGGGAAAACATGTCATAAGGAAACAAGATACTCTGCTAGATAAATTTATTAGATAAATGAGAGGTTAGCAATTATTTCCTGATTGGCATTTACCTTCAGTTTATTCTTAATGTTATACTTATCTAAAGTTTTAGTGGTTTATACTTGTGTATCTTACTATAATTGAGTTTTTAACTCTATTTGCTAAAGGCAAATAGCATTGCTATAATATTGAAAGGCTTCCTTTAATAGACCCAAGGGTTGCTTTTAAACCTTAAGACTATGGGGGCGCCTGGGTGGTTCAGTCGGTTGGGCGTCCGACTTCAGCTCAGGTCATGATCTCACAGTCCATGAGTTCAAGCCCCACATGAGGCTCTGTGCTGACAGCTCAGAGCCTGGAGCCTGCTTCAGATTCTGTGTCTCCCTCTCTCTCTGCCCCTCCCCTGCTCATGCTCTGTCTCTCCCAGTCTCAAAAATAAATAAAAATATTTTTTTAAAAATTAAAAAAAAATAAACCTTAAGACTATGAATGGGTGCTATAGAAAACTGTTGTTAAAATCTTTATCATAATACAAAAATCGTGTTTTAATATTTTAGCAATAAACAATTAGAAAATAAACACCATTTATAACACCATTTATAAATGGTTTTAAAAACATTTATAATGTCATCAAAGAGCATCAAGTCTTGGGGCTCCTGGCGGGCTTACTTGGTACGGCATATGACTTTTGATCTTGGGGTTGTGGGTTTGAGCCCCACGATGGGTATAGATTACATTAAAAAATCTTTTAAAAAAAAGAACATAAGTACTTAGAAATGTAACAAATGAGGTAACACTAGTATGGATTTACACAAGAGAAATAAAAACATGTCTACAAAAAGATTTGCATAAGAATATATAAACAGTCCCCTAGGAAAATGAACAGGAAATTATGGTGTATTCGTATAATGTGGTATACTCATAACATAGAATAAAACTCAGCAGCAAAAGCAAACTGCTAACAGGGATGAATCCCAAAA